CTGCCTGCCTGCCAGGCAACGGACCGCTTAACCACCCAACCCAATCACTGCGACAGGCACGCATTTCCGCCACCGCCAACTGCTTCCGGTGGCACTTTGCACTTTGACTTGCCTGCTCGACTGCGGCTGCTATTTGCACGGCCTTTGTGGGATTCTCGCTCTCTCTCTTTCTGGTAGATGCCCATCTCTCTCTACACCGCCACTCTGGCACTCGGCTGGTATCCTTGTCGTCCTGCTGCTCGTCCTGTGTCATGTAATTTTATGACTAATTAGTCAGCTACTACGTCAAGTTGGCAACTACATAAAGCGCTGGTGGTGGGCGGAATGCGCTGGACGGAGGAGCGGTACGGGTACGTTTAGTTTAAGTCTTGAACAGCTGAGGGCGTTACTTGATCATAGGGCGTGGCCGTTTATTTGCTTTGCTGCGCTTTTAATTGCAAATTTTCTGGTGCAGCATTTTTATGGCACGCGTCGGCGTCGACGTTGACGTTGACGTCGACAGCAACAACAATAGCAATAAAGGCGGCAACAAAAACAACAACAACTGCCTCCGGTCTGTCTACAAAGTTGAGTTGCAGTTTGTTAGTTGCCTGCTGCCAATTGGCTTTGTTGGGCTCTTTGTTCCCGCCTTCTTTGCCCCCGACATCCCGAAACAGACCTAACCGACAGCCCCTAGAGCACCTAGAGCCCTAAACACGCCGACATTTTCTTTGTTCTTATTTGGCTTTGTGTAATTTTGCAGCAGAAATCACAAAGCACCAGCTTGAAGAAATTTTTGAATCTGCTTCGGCAACTTCATTGCGCGCAATTTGTAAAAGGTTTAAGCTAGTTTCTGCCAGTGGACTTGAAAAGATAAAACACATGACCTTGCACCACATCCTGGTAAGATCTGAATATGAATCTAGCTTTAACATTTAAGAGGTGGAAAAATAAACATAGGTAGGAAAAGTTGTATTTAGGCGTGTTCACTTAAAGATAACGGTTATAAATATAAGCTTTTATATTCATGCTATAATATATGCAATGCATTCCATTATATCAAGATCTTGAAATCCCTTAAATTTAAAAAAATTAAATAAATTTATTTTCTCTGAGCCTTTTATTTCCGGCTTCCAAAAGACCATAGCACACCATATCTGATCTGGGCCCTTATTAATTATACTCAAGTCATAAATAAAAGAGCCAAAAATTGTGTTAAATTTACAACTGACAGAAATACGACAAATGATTTCCGCTACTAAATTATCCACTTCCGTTGCATGTACAAAATTTGTGTGCCCCCAATAGCAGTCCCCGCCCTAAAATCCAAAAACTGTCGAGTCAACTACGAGCAAAGTTGGGTAACACCTGCAGCAGGACCTGCCCAAAAACCAGGGCTACAGCTGGGTAAACGGCAGATGGCTTAAAGCTTGAAGCTTGGGTGTATGTGTGTGTGGGGGCTGGCTTGACTTGGCGTGCTGAATTTTAAAAATACATACGAAATTTAAATGACAAACAACTAATGGAAATTGTTAACAATTTTCAATGGCAGGTGGCAAGAAACTTTACCAACCGGCTGCGACCTGCTGCGCCTTGCTACTACTCGAGCAGCAACCCTTGCAGCAAAAATCAGCTAACAGCACAACAAATGGCTTCATTTATTTGCGTCTTTTGTGCAATGTTAGCGGCACTTCCGCCCGGCGTTGGCGTGAACAGCTCAAGAAATCCTGATTTACGTTTAGCACGCCCCTCAGCAGCCGTAGAGTGTGAAAAGTTTGCCTTAAAAAGTTTACTACCCTTGACTTTGGGCAATGCCGAAGTTGAAATACCCTTGCAGATACAGCATTTGCGCGGAATTTAGTTAACAAAACATATTACAGTAATGATTTTGACTGGCATTTTTCTTTTAAGACCGACCAGTTTTGGAGTTTTATAAATAAATTTACACTAATAAATGTTATTTTTTTTTTAAATGATTCCTAAAGAAGCAACAATAAATATTTAAGTTTTATCTTTATCGATGCACTGAGAATACGGAGCACATTGAATGGAATAAGGAGAAAAGGAAATGCAACAAAGCGTCACATATTTCACAACAAAATTATAGTACCTACAAAAAGGTATTGTAAAACGTCCAAAGGCAAAAGAAACATATAATTTTTATAAATAAGACGAAAGAGGAAAGTAGAAAGTTGTAAGAGAACTTATTGCTGTTGTTGTTGTTGCAGCACTTGCAGTGATTGAATGGCCAACAGGCTTTAATGTTCCTTTTTTTTGCAGTATTTTTGCTTTAGCAAACTTTGAGTTCGGCTGAAAGGAAAACCTCACTTTAAGTTTTTCCGAAAAATTACAACTTTTGGACATCCCTAAATGGCAGCTGCATTGCGGCTGCAAATAAAATAAAAACACACTGACATTTTTCAATCATTCTTCTAATTGTTCCTCACCCACTTCAGGTATCAATGTTTTGGAATTTCTGACAGGAGAATTATCAATTGACGTGTCGAGACTCGTTAGAGAGCGGCGCACTCTGCGTTTACCGCTGCCCTCGGAGGCAATTAGCGCCTTCTTGAGCTCTATTTCCTCGCTATTTACCTTCAGACAAATGTCTATGAACAGGATTAGATCAATGTTTTTCAGACGTTTGGCATATTTAAAGGCTATAGTTAACATTTCCTTTTGCCTCTCAACTTTGCCCAGCACCGTATGCGCTTTGCAAGCGATTAGTGCGCTCAAAGCGGCCCATACGTAGCTATTGCCCTTGATTGCTTCTGAAATGTTTTATGTTATTTGAGTGTAAGCCACATACTCTCAATAATACTAACCATCCATGGATTTGCGAGCCAGCAAGCAGCAGGTATCGAAGGAATGATTATCGAGATTCGCCTGAGCCGCTTCATGGTACAAGTAGCTGCGTTCTATGGGATACTTGGCAAATCGCATGCGACTTTCAAATCGAGCTATACGTTGTCTAATATAAGGATGAAATACTAATTAATAGTTATACATATGAACATAATAATCAGATCTAACTTAAATATCTCTGCCTTGGGATCAACAAGCTGCTCTCGCTTAATTTGCATTATATTATTGAGTTTGACATTGGCGGCTGTACCCAGTTCAATTGGGATCTTGAGTAAATTCAGGAGACGTGTTCGTCCCGATAATGTTTTGATGGCGCTTGAAATTTTGTATTCATTAATGCGGGCCAAACCCAAATAGTTGTAGACCTCATTAATGAATTCAAATTTCCAAGGCATAATGCGGTGGGTCTTGATTGTTACATAGTCGCCCGTGACCTCATCCACAAATTTCGTCAATTTCTGAAATATACAAAATAAAAAATAAAAAACAAAAAACAGTTTTAAAAACACTTTTGATAATTAACCTTTAGCTGATGTTTGCTGATCAGGGCTCGAATAGTTCGCAATATTTTAAACATATTGCGTCTCGTTTGATACTGTATGCGGAAAAAGTTCTCCTCCTGGTTCTTCAGATACAGTTCGTTGTTCGGATACGTCTTAAAATGTTTACTGTACATGGGGCAGCGGGCGTGTAGCATTTTCTAGATAAATGAAATATACGCATTTAGCCATTCACAGATAAGAATTAAACGCGAAAATAAACATACTGTAAATGTTCGAACTGTTTTGTATTTTTCATTGGCTAGACGTTTTAAATATTTCGTTGACTCGACGGATTCTTTTAATAAGAGGTTTGGATTTTCACGTAAACTCTTAAGAAAAGAAACATCCATCCAAGATTTGTTTAGATAGGCTTGATTATAGGTCTTGAAGCGACGCTCGCGGCGCTTTTTCTCCAGCGGTGAGAGAAACTCTTCCTGAAAACAAACAGAAATATTTATTCCTTGATTCCCAAACACGTATTTGATTGTTACCTCCTTCTCCAATATGCTGAGCACATCACAGTCCGGCTTCACATATGTGGGCCGCTTGGTTAGACCTGATGTCATTTTGTCTATAAGTCTATGCACTGCCGGTGCTGTTTCATCCGAAAGCGCATCATGTATATTACCATTGACCTATGACCAGTAGTGCCGTGGTGTAGGCTATATGGTATATACATAATATATCAATATATAGATGTATCTAACTAACCACACTCAGACGATTCAGCAATGGCCTTGCTTGCGAATAGCAAAAGAGCCTCAGATTGTAGTGAAGATTTCGCTTGGCATCCTCAAACTTATTCGATTCATACAGCGCATCACAAATCTCCAAATTGATTTCTGGATCGAACTTAAGCCTATTTTTTCTTTTTAAAGTATCTGCAAAATTGAAATAAATATTTTATAGCCTTCGATGCATATGTATATCGAATTTGGCTCTCAACTTTTTGCCTTTACACAGTCAATGAGTGCCTCCGGCGCCCGCGCCACTTTCCTTTTGATTTGACTTCGCCTCAACAGGACCTTCGTATCATTTGGGTCAATAGCCAGCGCAGCATCAAAGTATCGACTACCAGCATGTAGGTTCTGCCTATGAACAAAATAGGAGCCCCAATCGGTGTACATGGCTCGCAGTTGATCATCCGTCCACTTGAGTACTTGCCATGGCTCCAGGTGCTTTTGCACTCCAGCGGATGGTGCGAATAGTTCCGCGCTCTGAGACATTGTCTTGTGTTTGCAATTGGGGGAGTGTATTAAAAACGGATAAAAGATCGTCTAAAACTATATAAAATAACAATTAAAAAATGTTAAAATTAATTATTAAAAAATTGTATATATTAAAATCATTTGTGTTTAGTGTGTCTAAATCTAAGTTATGACAGGCAAACACAGCTTGATATCTGGGCTCCTGAATTTTTAATCAAAATCTGACAGAAATGGAATGGGTACTACTTCCTTACTCCCTATTAATAAGACAAAATTAAATTTATTATTTAAAATCCATCCATAGATGGACTCTAAGACTTTTATTTGTTCTGAATACAATTTTATTAAATTTTTATAAAATCTTAAAGTACAATTTTGTAAATATTTATGAATCGTGTACAAGACATTTATATTTCATATTTGTAACTATTTTTTAATACATGCTGTAATAATAAACGTTTAATACCTTTGGTGAACATCCTTGTATTAACTGGGCTATTTTCATCAACAATATATTTTAAAGAGTATACCTGTTCAGTGTTTTCAACAATTGGCTCTCCCAGAGTGTTCCCGTGTGCTTTGGTATTATAACTGCTTTGGGAATCATTTAGGCAAATGGGCCGCTCTTTAGCCGAGAGTATAAAAGGATTTATCATACTCAGTATAGCTAGAGGCTTGCTAAAAATATATAAAAATTATATTACTTCATATTTAAACTATTAAACTATTGTGTGCTTACAATGTTTTCAGGTCCACCTTGGCAATGTTTCGTACTTCGTAGCCATGTTCCTGGTTTGCATTGAATCCAACCGACTTATTGCCCAAAACTATGGTGTAGTCTGTAGGCAATTCGGAACTGCTGGAAAAACAGTTGGACACAGTGAGCACATAAAATGGGTCAATAATTGAGCCAAAGCAACGAAATATATAATTATTATTTGAGATGCGTTGAAATACGCTGACCAGCCATGGATCTTCTTTAACTGTGTCAAAAGTTCTTCCACAGTCAGGCTTGCATTTTAATTTAGAAAGTTTAGTATTGACCTTTGACCATTTCCCATTCGTTTTGCATTTGAGTTCTTCATTGGAAATAGTGGATGTATAGCCCTTAGCACAATGAATGATGGCTCTGGTTGAGGCCACAAGTGGATCTGTGGCGCAATCGATGGTATTGTTGTTGGAAGTACATACGGCCTGAATACTGGGATCATTTATGATACTGTTTCGATCGCAGGTATTTACACACTCCGCCCACGGTGCCTTCCAGTCACCATTATCGCAAGTGTTTACATCGCTGCCCTGAAGTGCATACTTCTGGCTGCAGCTCAGTCGCACCGTTGTCTGATGGGACACGGTTCCACCGTTGAAATATGGCATGCCATTGTACAAGGTTCTCAGACGCAGCTGCGCGCCGATCACAGTGCAGCTCTTCTTAAATTCTGGCGGCTGAACCGTTGAAGTAGACACAGCCGTTAGATGCGGACTTTTGTCGGTTGTAGAGATTTCCCAAGACGGTATGTACCAGTCCTCAGTCGAGGTCTTGTTGCTCATCTCGTTGCATAAGTCAGACAGTTCATCGGACCCATCTAGGCAATCAATACGGTGATTACAGACCGCCATTTTGGAAATGCAGGCGCCGTAGGCACAACGAAAGGAACCGGGTGGACAGATCGAGCCTACACAAACTTCAATATTTTCATCCGAATTATCCAAACAGTCCCCAACGCCATCGCACATTTTGCTATGGGGAATACATTCCTCAGATTCTCTGCATTGAAACTGCGTGTAAGTTTTTTCACTGAAAATTTCAAAAATAAAAAGAGAGAATTGTCTAAATTTTAGTTAAAAATTGTTGAGCAACTCACGTGCATTTACCACGAATTTTTCGATCGAAAAGACCTGGGTCGTTGGTACAATCGAACTCGTACTCATCTGTATTATCCCAGCAGTCCTTTTTTCCATCACACCATTTGGAGCTCTTGACGCAGGCGCCATATGAGCACCTATGTTCATTGCATTTGATATCATAGCATTCCACAAATGTCTCATCGCTGCCATCGGCACAGTCCATAAATGTATCGCACTTGAGAGAATCAGTTATGCACTGACCATTCTTGCATTGAAACTGCCCCTCAAAACAGCCACTTTCTTGCCCTGTATTCGCATAGGCTGTAAATATATAATTAATATTAATATTAATATTATATTATAATTAATATTAATATAATATAATATAAATATTAATATTTAATTCTACTTGCTTTTTCCATGCAAATATATGTATATTATTGCTTACAATTACCATATTTCAGGCACAACAGCACTAGGCAAATTCTAACTACTTGAAACATTGAAGTTGTTCCGATTATAACAATATATGTAATGCCGTTGTATCAAATATCGACTGTTCGCTTTTGAGTTTCTTTGTATACTGAATTTAAACTATTCCAAGCTCTGTTGATATCGGAGGACAGCCATGTTGTATATTCATATATAAACACATACATATATGAGAAAACAAATACGATTGAAAGCGAAAACAATTAAGAGGTTCCAGTTGGGAGCTCCCGACTATGGGATACCCTGAACCCTCTTCTTCCAACATCAAATGCATATATATATTCTATTTTAGAAGCTATATGTCAAAATTTGGTGACTCTAGCTCTTACTATTTACCAAAATTGCCCAAAAAAACATGATATCGATATCGATTTTTATCGATCGCTTGGAAACGGACTAAGTTATTAAATATCGGAAACCAACTCTGCGCGGGAACTAGGAGCACCTACATCTAAAATTTCAAGCTCTCTAGCTCTTATACGTTCAGAGATCCTTGCGTTCATACATACGGACGGACGGACGGACAGACAGACGGACATGGCAAGAATATATATACTTTATGGGGTCGGAGATGCTTCCTTCTGCCTGTTACATACCTTTGGATTTGCACAGCTACAATATACCCTTATACCCATTTTTAATGGGTATAAAAAGTCACACAAGCACATACAGTACATATGCGTATACATGAAGATTATTATTTTTATTCATGATCATGATTATTATATTTTTATATTTTTTTATCACGATATAATAATTTTTATTAATTTCAATAATGATTTAGTTTTTTTATTATTGTTACAGGGTAGTTTGACGTCAAACTATTTGTCATATTTGACAATTATAGTGATTGGAGTATTCGTCGTTGTTCCTATTTCTTTGGCTTATAATTATGGTAACAAACTGAAATGTGCGCAGATTCGATCAAAGCATTCAAAACATTCACACACTCGACTTGACACCCTTTCATTTTAAACACACAGTTTTTCAATTTGTTCTTTCAGTGGGTATTTTTTTTTTTTTTTTTTTTTTGTTTTTATTATTTTTTCCTCGATGAATTGCGGACCTTGTTAGAAATTGTTCAAAGCGGTTTTTTCGCACTCCAATGTTTCAATACATACTCGTTGCCTGCCCATTGATTAAAAAAACTAGTTTTAGCATTTGAACGCAAATTAAAGACGGGCCTTACAATTGAATGGGTTGCACTACAAAAGAAAAAATAAAAAAAAATTAAAACCAGAAAGAACAGTCATGTTCGGTATGATGAAATTTTCATACCCTTGCATATACACTAGCATTGGAAATTCATATATGAAAAAGTGCTTCGATACCAAGATGCTTCTAAGATTTTATATTGTGTTGTAGGTGAAATGAAGCTCGTGAGTTTCGTTGAGATAGCATGAAATATAAGAACAAAAATCAAATGTTTTCTTATAAAAAGTCTCTGCAAGGGTATTAGGCGCTTATTTGATACAAGGCTGAAGGAACACAAAACTCATAAGGCTGGAAACCAAAATGCATAATTGACGCCTCTAAGGACTCAATTGTGTCTAATGCTTATGCTTATAAATTTATACTGTAACCCGGCCTTGCCCGTGGCCCGGATAAAATAAATGTTATCAAAAAGCTTTGACAATATTTTGAAAGTAATCTGACGGTTAACAAATAACTATCATACAATCGTTTTTTGCCAATTTGCCACTGTTGCGGGTGGAATTTCCCAAATCGCTAAAACAGGTAATCCTTAAGTTCCTTTTTAGAGCTTTGAAAATATGTTTGATAAAAATCGGAAAAAATTAAAAACTTAGCCCAAAAAATATTTGAAACGCATTTCTACCAAAGAAGTTTGGAACTTGCGAAAACACGTCCCAAATGATTTTTCTTATTCTCAAAGTCTTTGCCCCTTTTTCAACAAACAAAGATTTTTGAAATTGAGTTTAAGGCCGATCGGATGGTAAACAAAAAAAAAAGTTTCATACAAACGTTTTTCGCGATTTTTCGATTTTTGCGGGTGTAATTTCTTAACGTGCACCTTCATCATAAGGTAACTTCAGTGAAAATTTGAGCTTCCTAGCTCTAACGGCTTGGGCTGTGCGTTGATCACAATCAGTCAGCTAGTCAGTCACGAAAAACAGTTTTATATACAGATATATATACATATATATGCTGGATGCTTTTTAACTACTTTGTGTCTTTGAGGAAATTAACTATTTTTAATTCAATTAAGGCAGAGGGGAATCCAGTTTCAGTGTGCTTAGTTTTGTTGGAGTGAGTATTGAATTAATAGTTGGGGGTTGTGAGTCTTGAATTCAAAATGAAAATGATTGTAGCATAGCAAAGGCAGCTTTTGATGTGTCTGTTGGGTGGTGAATGTAGTCGGGATGGTTCGGATGAAGTTGGGTAGTGTAGAGTGCAGACAACATAAAGTGCACAAGTGACAATGGAATTGTTTGTAAATTGACAAACAAAATGCGCTTTTGTGATTCACCAAACGGCAAGCGAGTACGACAAACGGCATTTCGCATGGCCAAAGGGGCGCATACGTTATATGGATTGACATGAGCTGACACTTACACTCACATACACATACACACACAAACTGTTTACACTGACAAATGAGCGCAAATTGCATTGCCAGTTTGTCGTTGTTACCATTTCCTTTATGTTGTATCATTGTTGCTGTTTTTGTTGTTGTTTCCAGCACAACTTTGTCAACAGCAACAACAACGGCTACATCAGCGGTTGCTAAAAATCGACTCTGCGTCATTTGCATTTCGATTGCGGCACTCATGAGCTTGAAGCTCTTATAGCACCGATCCGCTGACATAGTCCCTTGCAGCGACATTACTACATTTTGCATTTTTTATGCTAATAAACTTTGATAAAAAGAACAAAATTAAATATATATTACAATTCTGCAATTTGTAGGCTTGCAAAAGCGTATTTTATAAAAATATTGAAATTTAAATAAATATTCCATGCCTGTGTACTGCTTGCACTGGGCAACAAATATATTACATTAAATAAATAATTCATATATTTAAAAGATATCATATGTTTGAAAAGCATAAAAAAATTTCATTAAAGTATCCACGAAAAAATTAAAAAATTTCATGTATAAAATATATCATTAATTATTATATTTATTTTCCTAATAGAACAATTATTTAAAAAAAAATAAATGAGGCTTAGAGATCTTGTAGGCCAGTGTTATGTGCGTCACAAGGCGTGGTCCCTAGGGGTGCTGATAATATTTCCGTTCGTAAACGAGTTGACTTTGTTTATCACTAGCAATAAATAATAATTTCAACCTGCATATGCAAAAATTATTCGAATTTAATTCGTGTTAACAGAAACTCTTATATCTAGAAATCAATTTGGATTTTTGAGGCATTACCCAATTAATTAAGCTTAAAAGTCTGGCGGACAGTGCCGCGAGTGCAGCGACAACTTTCGACTAGCGCTAATAACCAAAAACTGTCGCCTCCTCCACTTAGTCATCGGCAGAAGCCCAAACGGAACCCACAACAAGATCTTGCGGCCACACAAAAAGCCAACCGACAAAAAAGGTCGTCAAAACTTTTGCCTAAAGTTTGCATGGGCCGAGGGAAGCTGCACTGTTGCGGCATGGGGCCGAATGAAAGGCAGGGAGCGCTATATGGCTGGCTCTTATCCAATTAAGTCATAACTCAATATGTGCTGAGAGAGAGAGAGAGAGAGATAGACACTTGGCCATAACTTAGGCAAAGGCAAAAATTTTGCTCTAATAACTTTGGAGCTGATGCTTTCCTCCGTCTTTTTGGTGGCAAGCAGATAATTTTCGCACCCCACAAGTCCCACCCGGAACCAGAGCCGCATTCAGCTGCAGCACGTACCCATGTTATTTGCTAGTCAGAGTTGTGTGGGCGGGAGTCTTGGAAAGAAGTGGGGCGATATTTTAGTTTATGCTGAGCAACAGCTATCCGGCTGCCTGGCATTGGCTTTTACGGCACCAGCGAGACGCTGCCACAACTCATTTGGCGTTGACCAGGACGACTTTGTTGGGCCATACCGTCCCCCTGTACCCTGCCACAACCCCTGTTGCTGCGAGTGGCTGGAACAGCTCTCCAACTCCATCCATCTGCAGTTGAACGCGTGCATAAATTATTCATTTGTAATGTGCAGCAGCACTCGTTGCCGGGTTGGGCTACATGATGGGGAGGGCTGAGGGAACACTGTGTGTGCACTTTTGGCACAGGATATGACACTGACACTCAGCGCCCGGCGCTCGTCCTGCGTCAACAACTTCCCAGCGGCAACTGGTATAGGGTCTGAGGTCCTTGGTCTTCGCTCCCTGCACCCCGCTCCCCGCTCGACGGGCTGGGTCTGCGCTCTTGGCGTTTATTTTCGGTTTGTAATTTCCTTCTGGAGTTTGCGGCGCGAAAGGAAGACAGCCAGAAATGGCGAAACCTCCAAGAAATCTACAGCAAAAGCGGCAGCAGCAAGCGGAGAGTATATTGCAAATGACGACTGCAACTGAACTGGGCAGCATACCACACACACACCCCTTTGGCTTACCATTTTCTTTGGGGAGCAGCGTTCGTAGCATTTGCAAAGTTTAAAGTTTGCGTCAGATCTGCAGCTGTGTGTAAAAGTTTCATTTGTGAATTGAAAAATTATTTCTAGTTTCATATGCAGAGTGTGTGCCATTTACAGAACGAGACGCCCAGCTAACCCAACAAGCTGAGCCAGCCAAGCAGCACACAGCCATTGACAAAATGGAAAGTTGTTGACTTAGTTTCCGCTTGTGCGCCGCTACCGTTACCCCAGTGTTGCACATTGCTGTTGCAACTTTCAGCTAACGCTGCGTATGTAACGCAAGAGTCTTCAGTCTGGCTTGTAGGCGCTTTGGCAACACTTTTAATTATGTGCTGGCTACGCTTAAATTGAAGTAATAGCTTAAGTTTTTGCTGGTTTTTGTGGCTTAAAGCAGGTGCCAAGCCCAATCCATTGAAAATGCTTTCATGCAAGTGTGCAGAATATGTAAAATAAGGTTCCTCTGACCGCATTGCGGGTACATACT